ATAAAAAGCAGTACATATCATAATTAAAACACATATAATACAAAAAATATAATAAAAAGCTATTAATATTTACCTGCATTGCCAATGGGAAGCCAAACAAATTGTAAGTGCTCGATCTCTCATTCTCGACATATTGGCGGTGCTTTATTGCCATGTCTTTTCCGCGCAATGACTCAATGGTTAGCTAAAATGATAACCTTCCCTACGGATAAGCATTAAAGAACTCTTGGTTGCTTGCAAACTGCACCCAATCCATATAAATGACTTTTGTTGAGTCACAAGCCATTAGGATGGAATGCAAAAACCATACTAGGCACATCTTAAACTTCTCCAAAGAGGTATATCCATCTTCTCCTAACCTCTCCTCTAAATCATGTGCTGTAATAGACACCTGCCCCCCAAAACCTTTCTAACCAAGTTTTCAGCTACCCTACTCTTGTTTATTCTCTCTTGCTCTTCTACTTTTGGAAATGCCCCACATCTTAGGCCTATCATCAAGGCAAATTCCATCATCCCAAAACATAGTGGCTTCCCATCCACCACGAACCACATTTCATTTCTTTTTTTACTTTTAACTGAGTGCAACAACATATAATGGGTTGCTTGCCCTCAGAACTCCTTATTCTAATTGTCTCCTCCACAAAATGACCGAAACAACTATCTTTGAATCGGTCCATACCCCCTTTTTGTCCACCTAAAATCTCTTTTATTCTCGTAAACACTTGCCAACTCGACCTAATCATCACTCTTACGGGGAAGTATGGTATCCTATAGATTACAACCTCCAACCCATAATCTTTATAATTTATGCTTCGGAAACACTGCACAATCGATATAAACTAAATAGTAGCAAAAAAAGAAACGAAAACAACCAATAGGATGCCAATATGGGGAATATGGGCTTCTAGGGCATCAAGGAGTGGATGTTTTTGGTTCGAAAGGACCGAGGAAGCTAATGAAGGCCCTATAGAGGCTGTTGTGGCAGGTTCGATGGCTGGGGATGGCAGAAGGGGGTGGAATAGGGGGGTTGGGGGCCACACAACTGTTCGTGGCTAGCCTTGCAATATGCAGGGTAGCCCCCAATCCCATTCCACCCCCTCCTGCCATCCCCAGCCCTCCAACCTCCCATAAACAACCTCCCTATGACCTCTCTTGCCTTCCCCCATCCTTTGGAACCCAAACACATGCACTCCCTCGATGCCCACCAATTGTTCGACAAAATGCCACAAACACCTTAACAATCAATACCAACTAAATATTCCCCAAATTTGCATAAAAAATAATTTTTTTCATCAAATGGTAAAAAATGTACCTTTTCTTCATCAGCGTCCTCCTCTTTGCCTGAATTCTCGTTGGCATCCTCCTCTTTAGAACCATTTTTGAATTTTCTTGTCTGTTATTGTGTCGTTGTCGTGTCCTCTGCCGCTAGACCACCTTCACTCATCAGAAGATCCACTAGAGCGTCTTCTTCGACAACCTTTAAACAGTCGCCGCTGCCAGACTCTGAATTTGAAGTGGGGTTGGGTTTTCCTCCTCTTTGTTAATATCAGCTATGGATTTTGTGTAACTAACAGTGATACGAAGATTAAAGAGCAAATATTTATCGGAAATCAGGAACTTTGATCGCTGAAAATCTCAGAGAGATGGGGTGTTTTCGTCAGTCGATTTTTTTGGGTGGCCTCCTTCGATTAATTGATTTTGAATTGGGAGGGGGGAGTCGTTTTTTAATTCCAAAATTTAAACAAATTTCCATTAATTAACTATTACCCATATAAGTTTCAATCGTTTCACTCTAGCCCCTTTTTGCATGTTTTGTTACACTTAAGTGTGCCATATCAGTTTTTTAAAACAAAAACAAAACAAAATAAAATAAAATCAAAAACCTTTTCAAGGTTATATTCTTAATTGGAAACTTGGGAAGACATTCCGTTAAATTTCCTCGAACTTCAAGATTTAGACAAATTAAAGAACAAAACAATGACTTCATACACAATAAAATCAACATTTTCAGAACAGAACAATTTTCCATTACTTTTGCTTGAGAAAAGATGAAATGGTGAGGGAGGAGGTGAACGGTTAGGGGTGTAGGGCTAGCACCTGCAGTCTTGTAGGGCAGAAGAGAGGGGTTTAACCGGTGGGGATAGTTGAAACTACCGAAGAAAACCGAGAAGAAAATAGAGAAAAGAGAGAGAGAGAGAGAGAGAGAGAGAGAGAGAGGGAAGAAAAAGAAAAACTAAGAAAAAACAAAAAACAAAGAGAGAAACAAGAATGGGAGACAGACAAAGAAGAAGAAGAAGAAGAAGAAGGGTAAAAGAAAATTAAAGAAAATGTAATTTAAAATATTTAGTTACTTGAAAACCCTTGACCCCTATTTGACTTTTCCTAGAGCTACTGTAGTTACTAGAATACCTTTTATTCTTTTTCAAACGCCCGTTTTAACAGCACAGGGTTATATAGGCTCCGTTTGGTTGGTTTTTGGGAATACTATTATTAGTATTCCCAAAAAAGTTAAACAGTAAAATGCTAAAAAACTCACAATATTATCCAATATTATTCAACCTTTTTTAAACCCCTTAAATTTGTTAATTTAATTAAATACCCCTAAATATTTTTTTTGAAATTACAAAAACACCCTAAACACACATTATACCAAATTCCGGCCACCATTGCTGGAAGTTGGCCGGAATCTAATATAATGGCGCACTATCGGCTGAATCTGGCTGGTGGATCTGGCTGGAAAAGGCTAGATCTAAGACCATAACCAAACGTCAACGACGGCCAACATATGGTCGTCATTGACCATCAACGACGGCCGTATCTTTGGCCGTCGTTGACGAGCAAATGCGGCCAAATCTGGCTGTCAATGGCCAGATCTAGCCGTAGATCTGGCATTTGCCGACCAGATCCACTGTGGATCTGGCCGGCAAATGCCATATCGGCGTACAACCAGCAAAATCCAGCCGGTTATGTGCTGATACGATGACTCCGGCCACCCTCCGATGGTGGTGGCCGACTGTGATTATTCAATGGATGGGTTGGGGTGTTTTTGTTAACTTTCAAAGTTTTATTATAGTGGTGTTTAGTAAATAAACAAACATAGAGGGTATTTTTATTAATTTCTAAATTCTACATCGTAATACCCACCCAATTAATTTTTTTTTAATTTTTTTCAAAAAACTTTTTTAAAAACTACCAAAAAAAAAAAAAAAAAAAAAACCATGGGGGTGCTCAGATTAGCTAATCTATCGGGGGTGGATAAAAGGAGCCCATTATCAATACAATAAAATAATCAATTCTTATCTCTTTTGCACATTTTCTTCGTCTTATTTGAATTTGCAAAAGGCCGGCCCCACCCAATTCTCACCTGGCAAACGAATAAAACCGTTGGGGGTAATCTCGCAAAATAATATGAACAACAAGGGCAAACCCAAGACCCGCCGAAATTTCAGACTCCCCGACAGTCACTCCCGGCCCCAAATTATAACGGCTCAATCCCCAATAACTCTGTCCTTCTCTTCAAAGACAACCTATCCTCCCAAAATTCCATCCAATTTACCTTATTGCCATCCTTCTATTTAAATTTCAAATTCTCACCCAAGCTCATTAAAGTTGGTAGATAATTAAACTTTTGGAAAAACAAATCTTTTTTACTTTGGGACTATCATGTTTAGTTATTAAAATAATATAAAATTCTGAAAATATTTTAAAATCAATAGTAATTACTATTAATTATATATGTGGTAATTTAAATATCACTATTTTTTTGAAGTATTTTAAGATTTTTTGTTAATCTTAATTTTGTTACAATTTTATGCTCAATTATTAAAATTTTTGGACAATAATACCATTGCTTTGAAAATAATTTACAAAAATATTCATGGACTATTTTATCCTTATATACAAAATTTTTAGGACATAAATGCCATTGAACTTAAAAACAAATATCCAAGAGTGGTGGCCAGATCTGACCGATCGTGCACTGATCTGGTCGTTTCCGACAAGATCTCTAGCCAAAAATGGTCAAACCGTAGTAGATTTAGTCGAAAACGATTAGATTTATTAGCTGGCTGGTCATGCACCGTTCCGGCTACAGCCGTAGGCAGTGGTGACTGATGATCAATAGTGGCTTGGGTGGCAGGGTCGTTTTGTTAATTTTTAAACTTTTATTATGAGGGTGTTTTAACTAAATTCTCAAATGTAGGGGGTTAAAATAATAATCTATATAATAGAAGGGTAATTTAGTAATCTATGTAACATGCTCACCAATTTATTCCTCCCAACCAAACATATTAATATAACATTCCTGTCAATTTATTTCAATCCAACCAAACATATTTAACGTAACATTTCTAGAAATTTTTAAGGTAATTTATCTTTATTTTAATATAACATTAATAGTAATACAATATTCCTTGAACCAAATATACCCTAAAGGTTATATAATATTATTTTAAAAGTTTACATTTTAGAAGACAAACTTATTTTATTTGTATGAAGCAAAAAAAAAAAAAAATTGATCAATTTTATGTGAAAAAAATTAATTATTAAATTCAGTATTAAAATTTACATTATAAATTTTTTTTTTAAAACTATAATAATAAAAATATAGTAACATTTATAGACTAATTAAATTTAATAAAGATTAACTTACAACTCAATTTTATAAACTTTTTCTTATAATTAGTCAACTCATAATTAGACAGACATGACCCGCAATTAGGTAGGTATTGTGAGCTGTTATATTGAGATTTTAAAAAAAAAATTATGAGATTAAGTTGTAAATGAAATATTATTTAATTAAATTAGTTTAGTCATTTAGGGTTAAATAATTTATAAATGTTTTAAAATTCTTTTTAATGCCGCCATTTTCCCAGTAACCCAAGGGTATTAGTGTCATTACCATCTTTCTAGTATTTCTTGACTCATTTGTTAATTCAAATCTTTAGATCGTTACAAAACCTGGCCGCTATAAAACAAAAACAAAAACCCAAGTTCAAAAGCCAGAGACGCTCCAAGGTACTTGTACCCTGCACAGTAAATGTGTACCTGTGCTTTTCGTCTTGGTTTCCTGAAAGTGATAAGATCACTATTCATTTCCTTTGCTTCTGCTACCAACACTGAATCTCCGACGAAATCTGCGCCGGTCTCTTTCTGTTTCTATATTCGTTGCTTGTTTCTTTAATTTAGGGTTTAACCATTCAAAATCCTCCGATTTCACATATAAATATTCACACATTTATGTACATATAGAACTAGAGAGATGGAAGAAGAAATGGAGGTAGAGTTACCTGTGTTTGAGGCGCGTGAGATTGATCTCGATTACGAGTTTGATGCGGCTCGGTTCTTCGACTTCACTCGCGAGGAGTCTCTGCCGGAGGCGCGTGAAGCTGAGCTCTGGTTCGAGTCGGCGCCGAGTTATCCACCTTCTCGTCAGTCTCTCTCAAGCTTAAAACCCTAACGCTTTCAAATTTTTTTTTTTTTTTTTGGCGATTTGTGTAGTTAGCGTGCATTATTTTTACATGATAAGTTTGTTTTTTTCCTTTGTATTTGCAGCTTTTGTGGCAAAATTAGTATTAAGAGAGGACATTCTCCTGAAAAATGTGAATACATCTCCAAAATCTATAGTTAATACTTCGCTGGATAACGATTCTGATAATGGCGTGGTACCCGAATTTTCCGCAATAGGTATAACTTATTCACTTGCTAAATTTTTCCTAGGGTTTTCTCGCGTTTACTAGATTGTTTAAGGGGTAGTTTGCTTTGTAGATTAGGCAATTTAGTTGATAGAGTTTGTGAAATGCTTGACTGCTAGATTTTATGTGTTGTGTTTATTCTATGATTTTTAGCTTAAATTACTTAAGAGTTATTTTCTATTGTTAATACAATAGGCATTTCTGTTCGAGCTTCACTTTCCATTTCTCAACTGTGAGTCCTGTTGTCATGAACAACCCCCACATTGCTGTTCTGTCATGGTCATTTATGTTAAGGCATTCGTATTGCTTCCTTGGGTTCAGCATCGCCATGCTTGCAATGCCGAAATCACTCTCCATTACCATTGGCAAAGTCTATTCTTCAAGCCTTGACTTGAGGCTAGTCTTACAGCTGCAAAACCCTTTTTATCACTGAGCTTGGATTCTTTCTCAGCATTGTTTTCATTTCAAATATTTGCAACAAGTTGTGCTGGAACTAGAAAGTGATATGACATTACTGTTACCCCGTAATACTTGTTCGGCATGGAGCATTATAATGAACCCTCTTGTATGATAGTTCTTTTGGTAGCTTGCATGGAATAGGTTTATCTTAGCGATAATAGGAAATTGAAGACAATTTTCATGGAGTCTTTATATAAATCCTCACGTTTAAATTGTGTTTACTGATAGTATCAGTTATAGACTGTGCAGGAATGAGTAAAGGGATCTTCACCAACTTACAAAGTGGCAATCTACAAAAGGTTCCATATCAACCATTAGACTTAACTAAAGGTGATTATTTTTCTACCTTTGATAATTGATGCTTGCATCTTGAGGATGTTTGCCCATGGTTTTACAATCGATATCAAAATAATTTGGAAAACTAAATGCTTCTTTTTTTTTTCTTTTCCCCTTTGTAAGAATGATTAATTTTTAAATATTGCTCTTTTGCTTTCTTTCAATTTTAATCACTTTGTTTACTGTCTACAATTTCTCTGTTTTTTTTTTTTTTTTTTATTTTGCAATAATGCTACGGACACCGAATTTTTGTACCGACCGATGTGTTATCTGAGTCAAACACAACCATGTAGCACGCTAACAAGTATTTCATGAATGAACGGCTGTCCATCAAATATGGATGAGCGTACATGATTATTGGACGACCGTTCATTTCAAATGGACTCTCGTCCATATGAAAATAACAATGGATTCTTGTCCATATTACATGGACGGGAGTTCATTTATTATGGACGGGCGTCCACCTCGAATGGACGCCCGTCCATAGTTTAAATTATACAATTATAAAACAATAAGAATGGATGCCCGCCCGTCCATATAATATGGACGGGCGTCCATATTCAATGGACAAGAATCACTTTGTTGAAGTCAAGAGCCTTAAAAGTCACCTCGGCCTTCTCCAGCCTCTCTTTCTCTTTACTCAGATTTTCTTTAACAAGTCTATTGAACAATCCCACAAGTGGGTTGCCACTACTCTCCCTATCAAGTTCTTTTTGCTTCTTATCAACCCTTTTCTTCTCCAGCTTTATGGCTGCTTCAATGGAAGGGTTCCCCTTGAACTTCCTCATCTGTTTTCTAGTCCATTTCTTGCTACTGCTCAAGTTCTTCACTTTCTTTACTAGCCTGCACTTCAGTTCCATTTTTATCTCCAGTTGGCTTTTACTTGCCACTGAAACCGGAGATGATCAAGAAGTGGAAGTTTGTTCACTTTCTTGCTCTTCTCTAAGTGCACACTGAACAAGTTTCCTTCTACTCCATATTCAATGGACGCTCATCCCTTTTTTTGGCTGTTTGGATTACTAAAAAAGCAAACTAAAAGCATGGATGTTGTGTGTAGTAGTTGGTTGAAACAGTTGAAGTGTTGTTGTTACTTCCAAGGTAGGATGCCTTTATTCGAGGAGCAGTAGACTTTAGAAATGGTGCGTTTAAAGCAAATTCTTTTATTCTAGCTTCAGCTTCTTTTCTTGGCCTTGAGTGTACAAGTGGTTTCTTCAACCTAGTTTTTTTATTTGTGTCAATTTTAGATGAACGGCCATCCATTTCAGATGGACGCTCGTCCATGTAATTATATGGACGGGCGTCCATATGAGGTGGACGCCCATCCAGAGGAAATGGACTCCTGTCCATATAATATGGATAGGAGTCCATTGTTATTGAACGACTGTCCATCATATATGGACGCTCGTCCATATTTGATGGACAATCGTTCATTCACGGAATACTTATTAGTGTGCTACGTGGCTACTTCTGACTCAGATGATACGTCGGTCGGTACAAAAATTCGGTGTAAACCTTCAGTGTTCGTAGCATTATTGTTTTTTTTTTTTTTTTTTTTTTTTTTTTTTTTTTTTTTTTTTTTTTTTTTNGCCACGTGATTGCGTCTGACTCAAATGACATGTTGGTTGGTACAAACATTCGATATAAACCTTTAGTGTTTGTAGCATTATTGGGCATAAATAGCATACCACATTTTAGGCGTAGGAAAGTAATGATGTGACATATAATTTGATAAAATTATTATTTTTGATTATCACGTTGTTTTATTTATGTGTAGGATTGATAAACAATTATCTTCTTTTTTTTTTAGATACAAAATTATAGAATTTAATTTGTAAATGTTATATTATTGGCTGATAAGAGTGTAGTATTATTGATCCACATTTGGCGCAGAATTACTGAATATATCTCTCCGAGTTTAAGAGTTCATCATTTTCTTTTTTAAAGGGAATTATGTCACCCTTTCGGGGGCGTTTGGATTATATAATATTTTATTATAGGGGTATTTTATATTAATGAAAAGAAAGATCACTTTAAAGATTATTGGGAATACTTAGAAAATGTATTTGGTTGGTTCGAATAAATTGGTGAATAATATGTTTGGTTAGGAGGATAAATGGGTGGATATGTTATATAGATTTATTAATTGCCCTCCTTTTTAAATATTAATATAATAGTGTTTATTATTATTATTTTTTGAATAGTTTCTTTTAACTCCTTACATTTGAAATTTTGTTAAAACACCCCAGCCATATAAAACTTTAATTTATAGCGAAATCACCCCCACCCACCCCAAGTCACTGGTGGCAGCCAGCCACCACCACTGGCCGCCGTTGGCAATCGATGAAATGGTGCACGACTGGCCGTATATAGTCAGTCGTGTGCCAACAAAGCCGAAAATGGCCATGGATCACAAATCCATGGCTGAAAAATCGTCAGATCTATGGCCATTTCACTGGCATAGAAATGCCAAAGCTAGCCGTTTCTGGCGCACGATCGGCCCGATCCCGTCGATCGTGCACCATTATGGTGACTGACGCCGGTGGCCAGCGATGGTCTTGGGTGGCTGGGGGTATTTTGTTAACTTTTAAACTTTTTTGTGGCATGGGTGTTTTAGCTAATTTCTCAAATGTAGGAGGGTTGGGTAATTGTTATTTGGTAAACATTTGAGGGCAATAATGTCTGAAATGGTTTTTAATTAAGGGCAAAATGGATAGAAAAATCATATTACCTCAGTAATGTTTTAATAACACCCCCTAGCAAGGTAATAAGATTACTCCCCACATTACCAACAGTAAATACTATTTGCAATAAAAGATTCCTATAATATTTTATTATTTGCAAACCAAATATAAGAATCTTACAAAATAAACGAAGATTACCCCCGTTATCTTATTTACCGCCTTCAAGTTTTAGAAAGTATCACTATCCTCCTCTCATCTATCAACGAATACATTATAGTTTACACTAGTTTATAATTATTATTATTTTGGTGACCAGACTAGCTTACGCACACCTCGAGTAATTCTCTTGGGTCATGAAGTTAACGACCAAGGATACCCTCCAGTGGGGCAATGACCACCCCTATTAGCAACTGAGAGGAATCGAACTCAAGATATCTTGAGTATTACACCCAAGAGTCTCTATCGTCCTACCCAAGCACCCAAGGATGGTTACTAGTTTACAAATTTTTGTGTTTTCTCAACTCATCACATGTTCTTTGCTTTAAAAATGGTTGTGTAAATCTGAAAGCAAATGAGAGAGGGAGAGTGCTTATATCAAACTCAAAGCAAAAAATATTTACATATGATGGGACTTTGGCATGTTTGTCTTACTTTTTTTGCCCTATCCTATTCCTATCTTACCCAAAATGCATATTTTTTTTTCCTATTCTCAAAATTCAATCCCATTATTTTCACTTTTAAACCCCCATAGATTTTTTAATTTAACTAAACACCCCCAACAAAAAGTTTATAAATTGACAAAAACACCCCCATTCACCCACATTTGCTAGATTCCGGCCACCACCGTTGGAAGGTTGCTGGAATCTAGCATAATGACGCACTACCGGCTAAATCTAACCAGTAGTACGCTGATCTAGTTGGAAAATACTAGATCTACAACCAAAGATCTGGCCGTCAACGACTAGATATTTGGTCACATCTGGTCATCAACGACGACCATGTCTTTGGCCGTCTTTGACAACCAGATGTGGCCAGATCTACTTTTCTGATGAGATACATGGTGAATCTAGCCGGAAAAGGCCATGTCAGTGCACAACCGACCAGATCCAATTAGTCATGCGCCATTACGCCAAATTCTGACCACCTTCCAGTGGTGGTAGACGGAATCTGGAAAATATGGGTGAGTGAGGTGTTTTTGTCAATTTATAAATTTTTTATTGTTGAGGGTGTTTAGCTAAATTAACAAACTTATGGATGTTTTTGCTAATTTTTAAATTCTACCTCGTAATAACAACCCAACTCTACTTTTTCAAAAATACTACTCCAAATAATAAAACAAATACAACCAAATGATTTTTAAATGTGTCCTCAAATGTCTTCCCAAGGGCATTTGTCAAGTGTAACTTATTTGTTGGCACCGTTAAAGTTGAACTATGTAGATATAACTTTTGATACAATAACCCAAAAAACTTACGGAATGTTCACATTCCCTATTTGAAGCACCAAAGAAAAGTTGAATGTCATTTTCCAAATTAAGGCGATGAACAATGGTGCATCATAGCATATGTAGACTTGTGGCCCTTTGATCCAGTCAGAGTATATTTCTGATAAAAACTAATAGAGTTTTCGTTCACTTATGGTTTACTTTGGAGGGAATTATAGAATTTTCTTTGAAGGCTAAAATTGACATTCCAAACTCTATCGCGATTCGCGACTTAAGTGGTTTAAACCTTAAAGGGGAGGTGAGTAATAAAAAATGATTTGTCAAAGAGAGAGAGACTGAGAGAGGAGGCCAGTGATAGTTTTCCATAGTATGGGGGGTTAATAAATTTCTGAAATCTCGGGGCAGTAACTAATTCCAACTTTTCAAATGAAAGTCGTACATTGCATTTTTGCATATCCCCTTGATGCCCACGTGGCGCCACCTCTAAAGTCCCTTTCTCCTGTAATTTTTTATTTTCCATCCAACGGTTTCTAGAGAGACAAACACAATCTTAATACCGACTACCTAACTCTTCTCCCACTCCTCTCAAACTCAGATCTCTCCAACTATACCCTCACCACGCCGCGATGGCTCTGAAGGCCGTAACACTGACGCACGTGCGGTACCATAAGGGCGATCGGCTGGGCCACTTCCTCGCTTGGGTCTCACTCGTGCCGGTCTTCATTAGCCTCGGCGGCTTTGTTTCACACTTCATCTTTCGTCGCGAGCTTCAAGGCATATTCTTCGCTATCGGTCTCTTAATCTCTCAATTCATCAACGAAGTGATAAAAAAATCGGTCCAACAAGCCCGGCCTGAAACGTGTGCGCTTTTAGAAATGTGTGATTCTCACGGTTGGCCCTCGAGTCACTCTCAGTACATGTTCTTTTTCGCAGTCTATTTTAGTCTTTTAAGCTGTCAAGGAATCGGACTTTGGGGGATAAAGAACAGGTGGTTTTTGAACGTTCTTCACTGGACTTTGGCTGTGCTGACTATGTATTCGAGGGTGTATTTGGGGTACCATACGGTGGCTCAAGTGTTTGCCGGGGCTACTTTGGGGATTTTGGTTGGAGCGGGGTGGTTTTGGGTAGTGAATTCTTTGTTGTGTTGTTATTTTCCTGCAATTGAAGACAGTGCTCTGGGGAAATATTTTTATCTCAAGGATACTTCTCATATTCCTGATGTGTTGAAATTCGAGTACGATAATGCGAGAGCTGCTAGGAAAGATAATGATAAGGGTTATAAGAGCAATTGATTGATGAACTGTCATCTGGGTATGTGAGATTTTGTTTTCTTGGTTGCTTTGTTTGGTTAGTTGATTGAATCTCATCTTGTGATTGGACTTGGAGTGTGATTTTTACTTGGGCAACTAAATAACCTTGATTTTGCATGTTAAGCAATATTATCATTGAAAGAACATGTTTGTACGTTTAAGCAAATTTGTAGTTATTTATTTAATATTTCTTTAGGGAATTGTGTTAGTTATATATTTATTTTGGGGATTCCGTTTCTTATGACATATTAGGCATTATGTGATGAGTTGTGAAGATTTATTAGTTTTGGGATGTTGGAAATATGCTCTTGTTTTTGTAGACATGAATAATAACCTCAGCGTGATAGAAGGTGAAGTCTTAGATGGTAAACTGGGCTGAACATGGCTTCTATGCATATGCTTGGATGGCATATTCCCTACTTGCCCATGAAAATCTTCTCTATAATTGTTCTTTAAAGGACAAAGGAAGTTTCGTTGGTTGCTGCCCTTGGTCCATGCAACAGAAAGAATTGTTATGTGTGACAGCCCTTGTCCAAACTTTATATAACCTTTTTTTTCCTGCATTGTGTTCCTTTTTTTTTTCCTCTTCTGTAAGAGGAAAATATTTGAGCTTTTTTGAATGTAATTTTGTTGTTAGGGTTGTCAACTTTCTTCCATGTCTCTTAGCCTAATTATTATGCTAAGGCTGCGCTCGCTGGTGGTATAATTTTGGATTTATAAATAGACCATGGTTTTGGGTTAATGTGCCAAACAGTTGAACCATGTAAGAGGCTTCAAACTGAGCATTTAGCATGGAAATGACTTGATGCAGCAACCTTGAAATTTAACTTTGATTTACTGCAGCCATCAAGTTGTCACTGTTCCTTATCACCCTACGAAGTGTCAAATTTATAATTTATTTGTTTCCAGCTGACTTTGTTGTTGAGTAGCTTGTGTTGGTTTGATGTACTTCTCATTTTTCTATTACCATTGTTTTTATCAATGAGCTTCAGGTTTAATCATTTGATGCAATCGTAGTGGGGAAAAAGTTCAGGCCAAGATCTCATACATCATATTGTTATTGTCATCACCTTAGTTTTGTCAATACTGGAGATGATTTTGCTTGATTACAAGGTCGTAGTTGCTGATATTCCTTATTTTATTATGATTGATAATGTCTGTGCACTGAAAGTTAACTTCTACTCTTCTTTCTTTTGCTTGAGCCTTGTTTCTATTTCTTCGTGCTTCTTATCATTCATTCATCCAAATCGATGATCACATAAACTTCTAATTTGAAATTTATGCTTAGGCAATGGCGTGGGTATTCTATGGCAATTAAGTCTTGTCTTTATATGTTTGGCATGTGCATTTAACTGATTATCTTGCGTTTACAATAGTACTTGGAAAAATTATCCATGGAATATAATTTTAGGTAAGTCATGTGATGGAGGAGTTTGATAGCGAAGTGAGAAATAAATGTGAGCATTTTGAGTGCCCGGTGTTTTATCACAAAAGAGAGAGGAATCCAGTAGGAAGTTTCTGTAGACTTTCTTTGGTAGAGGAAAAGAATAGAAGTAAAAGAAATGTTAAAATCTATCCACCTGTTTGGTTGAAAGCTAGGAAATGGGGCTTCAACCAAATAAGACCAATAATTATTTTCATCCACTATTCAAGGGAGATGTTTCAAACTTTCGGTGGATATTGAAAGAAGAAAATCTTATAACAAATTCCCTTTTGTGATCTACTTTCAACCAAACAAGGTAGGTACTTATAATCTCTGAGCATTCTTTTTATCTCTTTCTCCGTTCTTCAACTTTCTTCATACCAAACAAAATAATAGAATTGCATACAGCGGATGGAGTACTTTTGTAGGTTATATGTGAATTTGATTAATGTGTTATAAACTAAAGGAAAAGAAGGAAACTTATCAAAATATGTATAGAAGGACTATTTAATGTTTATGGACCTCAGTACATATAGTTAGGTGGCTAATAAATGGCATTTATATATGATGAGTGTAGTTTAAAATATGTTGAGATAGGTGTGCTAAAAGTAGATGGAATATCTAAAATGAACATTTTTAATGTCATTTATATAGAAATCATTTCTAGAATGGTTAATTAATTTGATTATCTGAGTTACTTTTTCCTTTCCAATGTCAATTGTACAACGTATGGTTGTTTGGTGAGATCAGAGCAATTCATTTTTCTGTTTCTTTTGCTAGAACGAATATCACTTTTGACAGGGGTTAATTCATTTTTGTTTCTTTGGTTAGAATGTATATCACTTGTGATATATATTATTGAAAACATTGTTATGTGACCTTCAATTTATAGCTTTAGTCAGAGATCTTGCTCTGTGCTGATGTTGGTATTGCCTTTATTGCTAACATTGTTTACTTTTCCTCATTGTCCATTGTTTTTCTCTGTAAATTGTAAAAGACATCCTTACAGAATTGCTCTTACAAATTTTAATTTGCAAATTTTGATTTAGTTACTTTTCCCTTTTCCTAGCATATGTGTATGATTTCCGTTTTGAAGGTGATATTGGAGATACCCTTTGATACTTAATTGCTTCTGTTTTTGTTGGCAGGTTGATCGCTGCAAATTTGTGTTATGGATCCTACTATCGTTTGTACGGATGATCTGATTAGGCGATAGTCCTTGTTTGGATTACTTCACCCTGGAAATTGTATGCAAATGAGCTGGAGAACAGGCTTCGGAGACTAGACTGTGATACAGTAGCAAAGACAGCAGATTGTAATCGTTGCAGGGGTTTCTATGTGACAGATGGAAGAACTGTTATAGAAAACGATGATTTAAACTGCTTTTACAAACTTATATATATGCCACTATATTTAGTGATAACTTCAGTGGCTTATAAATCGTTCTAAAATTAATTCCTTGGAAGAAGAGTTGGCAATATGAGTCATAACGATTCTTTAAAGTTCGAATCTTCGATGCTTGTTGGAGTTACTGATTTTTTTCTCCTCAAACTATCATCAGATGACTTGATGGTAAAAAAACAAAAGAGGTTTTATGAGCTTTTGAGTTCAAACACTCATAGGCCCTAATAGGGATAATCACTGAGGAGTTTACTTGGTCGTCAACTCTGAGGTCCTGAAAATTAATTGAGGTGCGTGGAAGTTGGTTCAAACACCCTTAGTGACCAGGAAAAAAAAAAAAATTTCCAGATGTGTAAATTCAATTCAATTTTCTTTCTGATTTTTAGCTGCTTGACATTTTACTGTTACGAGTGCTAAAACTGTTTTGTCTTTCATGTTTTGGGAAAACCTTTTTTTTTTACTTCTTCTAATTATTTTGTCAAAACAATATGAAAAATGAAACACTTTGTGGTGTAGTTAGAGAAAATTAAAATGATCCAAAAATAAGGTTTTTAATCTTCTTATAGGATTTCCATTGAGTTATTATGGCTATATTAGATTTTTATAACTTGAAACTAAGATGTGTAATGTTAATAATTTATTATTAGAGAAAGGGTACAATATAAGTCCTTTTGAATCTTGGTATAATTTTTATTTTCCTTTTCTGAACAATCTCAAATTATGACTTAAATGCATGAATCTTATTGTGAAGATATAAATGACTTATAATATAACATTTGTCTTACCAAATCGTTGTTTTTATTTTTATTTTTAATCAGATATTATTGTTACAATTTCTCTTTTACCCTAAATTACTGTATGGTAGCGTTTGGTTCAGGGTGATATAAGATTAATCCTGTAATCTTAGTTTAATTTTTAAGATTCCTTCGTTTAGTTGTCAAATAATAAAATATAACGTAATTTTTTATTGCAAATAATGTTTACTGTTGGTAATATTGGAGGTAATCAGATTACCTTCCCAATGGGTGTTAATATAAGATTACCAAGGTAATCTTAATTTTGACCCTATTTTGCCCTTAATATTTTATCATTTCGGACATATTTGCCCTCATGTGTCTACCAAACAACAATTACCCAGACCCCCTACATTTGAGAATTTAGCTAAAACACCCCTGCCACAAAAAAGTTTAAAAGTTAACAAAATACCCTTAATCATCCAAGACCACCGCCGGCCGCTAGCCACCACCGCTGGCCACCGGCGAAAGTCGTCATATCGGCACAAGACCGGCAGGATCTTGCCGGTCGTGTGCCGATAAGGACATTTCCGGCCATGGATTTGTGATCCATGGCCGGAAACGACCAAATCTGGTGTTTTCACAGCCAAAGATGTGGCCGTGAAACGCCATAGATCTGGCCGTGAAAAGGCCAGATCTTTGGACGTGAAACAGTCGCCGTTTCATGGCCAAAGATCTGGTCTTTTCACGGCCAAATCTGTGGTCGTTTCACAGCCACATTTTTGGCCGTGAAATGGCCATATCAACGACCAGATCTAGCCGTGAAACGACCATATTCACGGCCATATCTGGCCAGATTAGGCCTGATCGGCGTACGACCAGCCAAATCCGACTGGTCGTGCGCCATTACAGCGGCTTCCGGTGGTGGTGGTGGCTACCGACAGTGGCTTGGGGTGAGTGGGGGTGATTTTGCTACAAATTAAAGTTGTATATGGTTGGGGTGTTTTAGTAAAATTTCAAATATAGGGGGGTTAAAAGAAATAATTTAAAAAATAATAGAATAAAATAATAATAAAAATAATATTATATTATTATTTAAAAATGAGGGCAATTTAGTAATCTACACAACATACCCACTCATTTATCCTCACAATCAAACATATTATTATAGCATACCCATCAATTTATTCCAACCCACCAAACGCATTTCTCTAAAAATTCTCTAGTAATCTATCTTTCCAGTAATACAACATTCCTCAATAATATAACATTTCCTGAACCAAACGCACCCTATAAAAAATCTTTGAAAATGAAAACGTGAATGTATCATTTTCTTAAGATAAGTATGAAAACTGTGATAGGTAAAGAATAAATAAATAAATAAATATATATATATATATATATATATGTGTGTGTGTTATGTCTAAAAAATCAGAGCTGACGTTAGCCTATGTTAGTAAGCACCAATTAGAGTTCAGGAAGACGTTGCACAGTCTAGGAGCAGCCACGTTGCTCCATGACAAAAAAAATATGGTTGTCACCAACTTAGCAGATTCAGGTTTTGTCTATGAATGATTGAGGACCGTACACCTGTCCAAGCCCCAGATAATTTGACGATATTTCCTAAGTTATCAGCCAATGAGAGGCAAATAAGGACTTGCACAACACCTACCCACTTACAGATTTATAATCATTACCTTGAATTCCTTTACTATAAATAGAGGACTTTGCCTCTCATTTTGGGGATTATGATACTAAACCCTCATTCTGATTGTACTATTTATTTTCAAAGCAAAGATAACCTACGAGAAAGAGATTGACTTGATATTCTCTCTGAATAATCAGTTATTGTACCTCTATTCGCTATTCGTTTTACGCGAGCTCTTATAATCTCTCATATATAAAAGGATTCGTTTTAAGCATCTGAACCACTTTAAAAATCATATCTCTATTTATTATTTAGTCTTTGTATCTAATTATAATAGTTCACGTGTAATTTCTAAAAACAACTCAGCATTTTGCAAGTGCGAGTCGTTAGTGTCAAAATCATGCATTAACAGTTTGACGCTAGAAGAAGGGCACATTTCATATCCGCTCTTCATTCAGAATCATTGATCAATCAATTCTACTTGTGAACAAATGGCTCGTGGTCTTGAAACCGAGCGAACTAGCACCAAAAACGAGGAAATCCGTTGGGTACAGGATGTTACTTCTCCCGAAGTGCCTCCAATTCCTCAAGGTACTGCGACGGACATTTCCTCGACCTCTCAGCTCGATCCAGCTGTGATGAATTACCTGGAAAGGTTCAATAATACTCTCAAAACGGTTAACCGAAGGTTAGATCGTTTGGATCAGGTCATACCACCCAATTCTGACAAGGTGATACCATCTCCAAAAACGCTTATAAGTCACACTAAAGCATGAAAACGGGCAAAAGCTCATACCACGCGCACTATAGAACGTAAAAATAAGGGAAAACAGGTGGCTGACAATAGGCCAAAAAGCTCGAAGGGGCCAGTGAATACCGGTAGTGAGGCAAGTATAATATATGTGGCTTTGTGACTTGGCGGTGTGTTACATCATGAGCTGTCTCACACCACATCGCATGGGCAGCCCCACAAGAGAGCACGGCATGGAGATTCTCATTATCGCCAGAATGATGGTTCTGACCATCACTGTGAGGGAAATACCCACTGAATACGAGTCAGTTCTGACCATCGCAGAGGTAAGGATAACTCCCCCAGCTATTTAGTGCCTTCACATGGCTCCAGCCAGCATGTGTCAAGGTATGTTGGAGGCTTCGGCTGAGGCGAAGAAGAGTCCGATCTGCAGTTTTTCCTCAATCACAATCATGGGGAGCGAACCCACATTGTAGAAAGTGATCCTGAAATTGTATGCAAATGAGCTTGAGAACAGGCTTCGGAGACTAGACTGTGATACAGTAGCAAAGACAGCAGATTGTAATCGTTGCAGGGGTTTCTATGTGACAGATGGAAGAACTGTTATAGAAAACGATGATTTAAACTGCTTTTACAAACTTATATATATGCCACTATATTTAGTGATAACTTCAGTGGCTTATAAATCGTTCTAAAATTAATTCCTTGGAAGAAGAGTTGGCAATATTAGTCATAACGTTTCTTTAAAGTTCGAATCTTCGATGCTTGTTGGAGTTACTGATTTTTTTCTCCTCAAACTATCATCAGATGACTTGATGGTAAAAAAACAAAAGAGGTTTTATGAGCTTTTGAGTTCAAACACTCATAGGCCCTAATAGGGATAATCACTGAGGAGTTTACTTGGTCGTCAACTCTGAGGTCCTGAAAATTAATTGAGGTGCGTGGAAGTTGGTTCAAACACCCTTAGTGACCAGGAAAAAAAAAAAAATTTCCAGATGTGTAAATTCAATTCAATTTTCTTTCTGATTTTTAGCTGCTTGACATTCTATTATTACGAGTGCTAAAACTGTTTTGTCTTTCATGTTTTGGGAAAACCTTTTTTTTTTACTTCTTCTAATTATTTTGTCAAAACAATATGAAAAATGAAACACTTTGTGGTGTAGTTAGAGAAAATTAAAATGATCCAAAAATAAGGTTTTTAATCTTCTTATAGGATTTCCATTGAGTTATTATGGCTATATTAGATTTTTATAACTTGAAACTAAGATGTGTAATGTTAATAATTTATTATTAGAGAAAGGGTACAATATAAGTCCTTTTGAATCTTGGTATAATTTTTATTTTCCTTTTCTGAACAATCTCAAATTATGACTTAAATGCATGAATCTTATTGTGAAGATATAAATGACTCATAATATAACATTTGTCTTACCAAATCGTTGTTTTTATTTTTATTTTTAATCAGATATTATTGTTACAATTTCTCTTTTACCCTAAATTACTGTATGGTAGCGTTTGGTTCAGGGTGATATAAGATTAATCCTGTAATCTTAGTTTAATTTTTAAGATTCCTTCGTTTAGTTGTCAAATAATAAAATATAACGTAATTTTTTATTGCAAATAATGTTTACTGTTGGTAATATTGGAGGTAATCAGATTACCTTCCCAATGGGTGTTAATATAAGATTACCAAGGTAATCTTAATTTTGACCCTATTTTGCCCTTAATATTTTATCATTTCGGACATATTTGCCCTCATGTGTCTACCAAACAACAATTACCCAGACCCCCTACATTTGAGAATTTAGCTAAAACACCCCTGCCACAAAAAAGTTTAAAAGTTAACAAAATACCCTTAATCATCCAAGACC